TATAAACAAAAAAAAATATTAGCAATTAATGATTTAAATTTATTTACTTTGATACCTACGCAATATTTACCAACGTCAGAGTTGGAAATATCCGTAGTTGAATATTCACTGGCGCCAGAGTCAGGAATATTACACACAAACAATCATAATATAAACCAACAAAAAAAATATTGGCAATTAAAGATAAAGAGTAGCAATGCAGCTTGTCTTAGGTAGGACGTTTAAGGGGTGATGATATCTTCCCTTTTACGTAACCAGTCTCGAACCATAGAATCTCTGTTGACCAGTTAGGGTTCCTAGTAACCATAATACTAGGTGGCGACTCCTTAAACAAAGACAATTCCCCATCAAAGAACAGGATGTCAGAAATCTATTCTTTCCATTCCATTTAAATTATTTTTAAGGCCGCCGCGATGTCGGGTGCGACACGGACATTAAGGAAAAAGGAATTTACAAAATTATAATTAAAGAAAAAGATAGGATTATTATAACTTAGCATTCAGACATTAGGAAAAAAGAAAATAAAGTGATTTTTTTTCTTCGACATAACCACCATATAGACAGTAACATGCTTGAATCATAAGCATCTCATTCCAGATGCACGACCAAAGGAGCTCAGCTGATGATGAATCTTAGATAGCATTGGATTTTTCACCCTATGTCTCGATGTCTGCTACCATCACCTTCTTTACCGTTACGGATGGCCATCATTTGTGTAAAAGTGTTTTTATTTTTAAATTAATTTATTTTTATATTTTTAATTTATTTTGATAGGTTAATGTTAAAAAATAAAAAATATTTTAATATATTTTAATATAAAAACATTTTAAAAACGATTTCTAACATAAATAAAGATGGATTCTATACCTTGTTAATGTTTGTTATAATCAGAATTTTTCTTGCATCTTTTTATTTTAAGAATGAATTGTCATCGAATTCTATATTACATGTAAGATCTAATTTTTTTTTTATAGAATATTATTTGTTTTAGCTAAGTTCAATCCAGTTTTCATATTTTATGATTTTATTTTTGATAATTTATAGATTTTAAAATATATTTTATAAGGTTAGGTATCTTATAGACTCTAATCCTGAAAACCCTTCTTTCAACGTGTAATTTTACATAAATGTAGGTCATGAATGTTTTTTTGAAGAGAATGAGTGAAGGGGAGGTTGGGATGTTTTAAAGGGAGAAAAAGCTCGACTTTGCCGGGGGAGGGATTGTCTTTACTTTTAAGTTTAGATATGTTTTTTTATGATTAATGATGAGAAGCATGCGATGTCTCTAAAGTAGGAATCTTTGCAATTTACACTCCTGACAGTGACTGCGCCATCTCATTTTAATTTGGACAGTGGGGTCTTTTCCATTCCTACGCATGGGTACCTCTGACCGCTCATTATCTTTTATTATTTATACCCTACTTTTATTATTTTATTTAAAACAAAACAATTAAAAATACCAAAAAAGTGTTCAGTAAAGATTTTAAAAATCAGTTATTCATTTGAATTGTAATGATTTTTTTAAAAATATTTTTATATTTTAAAATATTTTAAAATATTTTTTTTATTTTTTAAAAAATTATTTTTGATATTATAATATTAAAATAATCTAAAAACATAAAAAATTAATTTAAAATAAAAAAATAAAACAAAAATTATTTTTTCAAAAGAATTTTTAAATACAAAAATAAATACGTCTCTATATGAAAGTAATATCTTTTTATAGAAGAAAACTTCTTTTATTTTTTTTTTAAACCTTTGAATACATTTAAAAATACAAAAATATATGTATTAAAGTTTACTAATACACAAATAACTTATGTATTTTATCTTTCTTCTATCATTGTTTTTATATTTTCTTATATATAAATCTTAATTTTATATTAAAACTACCATTTCTTTTGAATCAAAATAATGCTAGAGGCGCTTATTTTTCAACAGGATTTCCTTACCAAATGATTTCTTAACGTAAAAGTGATTTTAAATTATTCAACACTAATCAGTACAGATTAGCGATATTTGGTGATATAATTATATATTCTAGAATCATATTTAATATTAATGTTTCAAATGACGCTTGCTAAAATAAGACTATTAGACACTCCATGTACCACTCCCTAGCTTATTAAAATGTGATTTCGCAAGGTACTTCATATTTTTTAAAGAAGTTTACCTTTTTTAATGAAAAATAAAATTATAAGACCTAACGCACTCGGTAGATGAAGAAATTTACAATTATATTTATAAAATTCAACCCTTGATTAGGGTTGATTTGTTTTTCAAAAAAAAGATTAAACTTAATTTTCAATTTAATAATTTTTTAAAATAAAAAACATTTTAAAAAAATATAATACTTATTAAAGAGTAATATAAATTTTAAAATTTTACTTGATAATTTAAATTTTTTAGTTAAATTGATTCTTTAATATGATATTAAAATATTGATAATTAAATAATCATGAGTTTAAATTTTATTATTTTTTATTTGTTTAATAAAAAATAAAAAAATAAAAATAATATTTCTCTAAAAATATTATTTATCTAAAAATAATAATAAATCAATTAAACTTGATTTTTAATTTAATAATTTTTTAAAATAAAAAAATTTATTTAAAATATAATACTTATTAAAGAATAATATAAATTTTAAAATTTTACTTGATAGTTTAATTTTTTTAGTTAAATTGATTCTTTAATATGATATTAAAATATTGATAATTAAATAACCATGAATTTAAATTTTATTATTTTTTATTTGTTTAATAATAAATAAATAAATAATAATATTTCTCTAAAAAATATTATTTATCTAAAAATAATAATAAATCAATTAAACTTGATTTTCAATTTAATAATTTTTTAAAATAATTTTTTTTTTAAAAATATAATACTTATTAAAAAATAATATAAATTTTAAAATTTTACTTGATAGTTTAAATTTTTTAGTTAAATTGATTCTTTAATATGATATTAAAATATTAATAACTAAATAATCACGAGTTTAAATTTTATTATTTTTTATTTGTTTAATAAAAAATAAAAAAATAAAAATAATATTTCTCTAAAAATATTATTTATCTAAAAATAATAATAAATCAATTAAACTTGATTTTTAATTTAATAATTTTTTAAAATAAAAAAATTTAAAATAAATACAATACTTATTAAAGAATAATATAAATTTTAAAATTTTACTTGATAGTTTAAATTTTTTAGTTAAATTGATTCTTTAATATGATATTAAAATATTAATAACTAAATAATCACGAGTTTAAATTTTATTATTTTTTATTTGTTTAATAATAAATAAATAAATAATAATAATATTTATCTAAAAAATATATTAAAAAATAACATAAATTATATATTAAATTTTAATTAAAAAATTAAACTCCAACTTAAACTATCCAGCAGCTGAGTTGAAATTTGCGAATTTCCAGAAGTCTTGAAGGCTGGCGGTCACATGCGATGACACTATGGGACTGAAGCTGAGTTTAAATTTTAATTTTCCACCACGACTTTGCAGGCGCATCTCACCCGCAAGACGCTTTGTAATTTTCCACCACGACTTTGACCCGAGATGGCTATGACTTTGCAGGCGCATCTCACCCGCAAGACAGCTCTTATCCGCTTTGCATTACGAGATTGTCCTGTTCTGTTTTCTTGCTGATGGAATCTGAAACTCTCGCTCGTTTTCAAATGTTTTCTGCCGTCAAATGATTGATTTAGTTAAATGATTCAGTTCGTATGAGACTTTGCAGTTTGTGTCTTAATTGCCACTAATTAGCAGTACCACCTGGTTTAGGGGATCACAATTAATATACATACAGTAGTCGAAGCATGGGAGCCTCTATTTAATTTATTACTGGCTCTGGGTTCTGTCTTTTAACTTCAGTCCCTGATCTTTTGATTGTTTCATAGCAGTCCCTCATGCTATTAATTGTTAGGCCTCTGTTTATTACTGGCTTTGCATGCTGTCCTTTTAACTGCAGCAATAAATAAATTATTAAACCGGCCCCGCTCCATAAGTTGACTTATAGCCCATTAATATAAAAAGATGAATATAAATCAAATTTCATTTCACATTCATTTGGATGTTTATCCGATTAACCTATTCTAACTTTGCCGAGTCAACTTTATTTATTTATTAAGAAATCATTCTATTAATTAAATCAAAACGACATTCTTTTTAAATCGATCCAACTGGAGTCCGGGTCAAACCACGGGTCGGTCAAGTATGATTAATATGTTTGTAGGAAGCAAACCCATGCCATCGGAGTCGGAGCGGAGCTGAGCTCTCAATTTGAAAATTGGAATGGCGATTTCACAAATAATAATAATAATAACAAAGAGCATAAAATAGGCTGTCTTCTCTCCCCAGTATTTGCTTGAAAAAGAGAGGAAAGTTCCATCTCCCACCTTGTCTCCTAGGGGTATGCTTGTAGAAATCCCCATGGCCTCTCACATCTGACCTCTTGGAGACCTGCCTGCCTATCTTCGCCGTCTCTCTCTTTCAATTCTATTGTTTTTTCAAGAATCCTGATCTCAAAGGTTCCTTCCCCCTCTCTCTTTCTTCAAATGCTTTTGATCTACTCTCATTCCTTTTTGTTTATTGATTTGGTACCTACTGATTCTTCTTTTTTCTTTTTCTTTTTGTTGTGCAGAGATGGCTGCTCCTCCCGCTAGAGCTCGAGCCGATTATGATTATCTCATTAAGCTTCTCTTGATCGGCGATAGCGGTATGGCTCTTTTATCTTCTTGTTTTCTTTTCTAAGGATCTTATGGTTTCAATCCCTGCAACCCATTTCTCTTAGTTTTCTTTTCTGTTTTTTTTTTCCTTTTCAATTTCCTAATGTATGCTTTCACTTGATGCAAAGTTGACCTGTTGTGTGGCAGATTTTTTAGTTTTTCCCATTTAAATTGGAATCCCTGATAGAGGAGAGGCAGCAACATTCAATCTGACATGAATTTGCTGATTTTTAGATTTTTTAGTTTTTTGTCACTGTGATGTTGTATCTGTCAGGATTCGGTACTATGTAGAGTTTTTTGTCACTGTGATTTTGTATCTGTCAGGATTCGGTACTATGTAGTAGGAGGGAGAGAACATGCTTGCTGCCTAAATAGATTGTCGGCAGTTAAGCTCTTTGTCTACCTCCCCTTCCCATAAACATCCGAAGAAAGGATATAGATCTAAACATGTTGCCTGCTTTATCCCATGTTTCTTTATTCTTGTGTTTTAATTGATGTCATTATGCTTGCCTTTTTTCTTTTTTCTTTTTGGGTGGGTGGGTGGGAAATGTTACATCCTTCACTAGATTTGCATAACTGCTAAAGTTTAAATTTATTCTGCAACTAATATTGTGCTTGAGATTTGATTTTTTTTGTTGTTGTTTGCCGTCACAGGTGTGGGCAAGAGTTGCCTTCTTTTGCGTTTCTCTGATGGTTCCTTCACTACTAGTTTTATCACCACCATTGGGTGTGTATTCCTTGCGTTTTGGACTTCAACTGCATTATGTGGTTTCTCTATCTTGAAGAAATTCTCTGACTTCCCCAAGTTTATTCTCCATCATGCAGTATTGACTTTAAGATAAGAACCATTGAGCTTGATGGCAAAAGGATTAAGCTTCAAATTTGGGATACAGCTGGTCAGGAGCGGTTTCGAACAATCACAACTGGTATGTTTTATTTATTTATTTTAGATACTGATATTTCAGTGATGCAAAGGGAGACAGTATTTGTGAAGTCTGGAAACTTATTCCATTTCAGCTTACTATCGTGGAGCTATGGGTATTTTGCTGGTGTATGATGTCACCGATGAATCATCTTTCAACAGTAAGTTTTTTATGTTCTCAATTGATCAAATCTTCAGATTGCTAATTCACTTAGTAGATTTTATGTGGAACAAATCTTGCTTCTCTGAATGTGTTGTTTGGATTTCCCTACATCTCTACTACCACCTTCTCACACGTGTTGGCTATTTTTTTTGTGACACTGTATTAGTAGGGAGGCTGCTTTGATTTTTTATTTTACCAAACTGTTTCCTTTCATATTTCACCTTTTCCGTTTTCAACTGTGTTCTCATTAACCAGGCTTTATCACCATTTTCAGACATTAGGAATTGGATTCGCAACATCGAGCAACATGCTTCTGATAATGTTAACAAGATATTGGTAGGGAACAAGGCTGACATGGATGAAAGCAAACGGGTATGTTAGGCAGTTCCTTAATCAACTAATACCATTTGTGAAATTGCTTTTGATTGCCATTTCACAAGTCCTGCTTGCTTGATTATATCTTAGTTCCACTAGCAGGGCTGTTTATTGATCCATAGATTTTAGCACAATGAGAATTTTTTTTTTTCACTGGGCATATCCATGACAGGAAAAAAATTAAATTGCCGTAGTTTATACTTCATAGTTCTAGCAATTCATCTTTCTGTTTCCCTCACTTGGGCATGGATGCTCTTCAGAATGTGAATCACTTTGTGATTCATAATCCTTATTATTTCTTTTCTTTTAGGCTGTGCCAACATCCAAGGGCCAAGCACTTGCTGATGAATATGGGATCAAATTCTTTGAAACTGTAAGTAAAACTTGCAGAACTTGAAGCTAATTGAACTAGCGTTGGTATTTATTGAAAAATATGTGTATTACAGAGTGCAAAGACAAATCTAAACGTGGAGCAAGTTTTCTTTTCAATAGCAAGGGATATAAAGCAAAGGCTTGCTGACACCGACACAAGGGCTGAGGTATTTGAATTTTATGAACTACTATTTTGAAGTTGAAAAGAGTGAGGAACGTCTTTGTGAGAACGCTCTTTAAGTGTTTGAGCATTTTGCTTGGGTTGTGTATTGCAGCCTACTACGTTGAAGATCACTCCAACAGACCAGGCAGGCGGAGGTGGTCAAGCTGCCCAGAAATCTTCTTGCTGTGGTTCTTAAACTCAAGTGATTTCCTAGTGGGAGCATGAATTACCGGTGACACTTCTGTTGAAAAAGAAAAGGGAAAGAGAAGGACGAGGACTAATTCTGATGACGGAGAAGGGGGGCTTGTCATTCATCTTATGGCCATTCTTTTCAATCTTGTTTTAGCGTATGATATTGCAGTTTATCATTATAGAATATTATTTGTGGTTCTCGTGTGGCAATGCTTTTCTTCTTCGTTTTTCTCACCTTTTCTTCTCTCTTTTTTGTGCGCTTTTCTTCCTCGCATCAAATTTGTAGTCGCTTTGGTTAGTTTGTTAATGATGTAAAAATACAATTGCGAATGGATTCCAGCATATGCGTTCAAGAAGGATCTGGTGCCCGTTTGGGTTTCTTGCGTTGTCATAAGACCCAGAAGGGTGAAGGCTCCAGAAACTTAATTCTAGATAATAATAATAATACTAATAATACCATCAACAAAAGAAGACCAGGGATTAACGTCATCTTGATTGCTTGAAAAAGAAACACTCGGGCAACAACAGAAGACCCGGGATTAACGTCAGTCTTGATTGCTTGAAAAAGAAACACTCGGGAGAAATCTTATCTGAGAAATGTAGAAATTGGAGTCCAGCACCGTGGTAAACTTGATCAGCTACTGGCAGCAGTAAGGAAACGCAACGCGAGTTGTTGGCTGTTGGAAAAGCTTCAAGTTGCTTCTCAGTTTTATTAAATTGAAAATTTTGTTTTTTCAATTTCATCCTTCTTCAGCATTTTTTATTTGTCAGTTTGTCCCTTTCTATATATATATACATGTCCAGCTTAGTTTTTCAATTTATTTTTTATGATATTGTTAAATATTAAAAAAAAAATCACTTTATAGGAATACACTGGAAAAAAATACTATCTTCCTGAATAAATGAGAACTAATTATATTAAAACATGTCTCACCTTCATTTGGTTTCTCAATCACTGTACACGAGCACCCCGTCTCACTGATTCATAATCATCATACCAAGTTTTATATGAATTAGCTCTCCATCATATTAACAGAAAGCATCGCGTGAACTTTCTCTGCAAGGCATTCTTTTCTGCATAATTCTCTACAGTCATGCTAGTTTCAATGCAAAGAAAAAGGCTGTTCTATTTTACACTTCAAGCAAAATAATGCTTTACAGATTTAGTTCTTCCTTCCCATAGATACGCTGAAGCTCACGAGTTGCAGCTTGGAACGATTCTGAGGAAAAGCAGGACAGGTGAAAATAGAAGGGAGTTAGAATGCAAGTGTTGGCAAAATTATTGAATGCAAAATGCCTCAAAGGTTTTTCCTCTCCAACCTTCTATTTCTAAGAAAACAGAGTGAGAACTAAAATTCCACAAGCAAAAGTGTGGTTGCACTTTGCACCATGGGTCCTGGTTCTCAGCTACAGCAATGCTAGAAGCTTTGCACTTGCAATCAAGAGATAGATTGAGAAAGTTGTTTCATGCAAATATCTAGTAGGGGATGACGGCCTCAAAAGTTCCTCAGAAACACCATAAATAAATGGATAATCATATTTTACAAGCGTGCTTGTATGTACAATAAGTAAGAGTGTTCAAGTCTTTAAAGAATTCTAAACATATAAAAGGCAAAGAGTCAAACAAATATACCCCATACCTTTCCAGATGCGGAAGGATTTCTGATTAATAGGTGCGCCAAAAACAGTTTGAATCACGTCAAATAACATGCTCTCAGGAGTGCTCCTTAATTCTTGTACTATCTGATAGATAGTTTTTCCATTTTCAAAATATATATGATTGTTCGGGTGTTTTGTATTGCAACCAGCATGTCGTTCAAACTCATAAGCATTGAGCACCTTACACCCAAATTATAAAGCAGATCAGCGGTGTTTGAATAAATTCATCCAGGCAAAGAATATAGCCAATAAGAAGCTTACCTTGGAATAATCACATGATTGGCACCCACAAAGATAGCCAGAACCTTTTATAATGCCACGAAGCTCCTTGTTCAATGCAGAGTACAACAAGGTCACTAGATTGAAAATACAACAGAAAATAATGGAGCAGTTTCTTTATCAGGAGAAGGGGCCAAATTTAAAAAAGATTTACCTCGCGTGACAAGGAAACATACTTTACAGGGACCCCATCAAGCATACCAGTTGATATCAAACTTCTGACATTTGAAGGAAAGCTGTTTGGAGCTTCTTTTCTGGTAGTTTTCAACTCTGGTCTGTTCTTGGAAACAGGTTCAGTTTTGGATTTAGTCACCTTCGTATTGCTCGCAACTGCCTTGGCAGTTGTAGCCCTCAGCTCCTTTTCATCAACCGCTTCTCGTGTTTGAACAGAAGATTGATCATAAGTGTGGTCATAGCTGCTGAGTGGCCTATCAACAGGTATAATATCATGTGCATCATCAAATCCCCCAAAAGATAATAAATTGGTGTCTTCCTTGCTATATGCATCGCTTATTGGAATAGCACTATCATCAACTTTGATGTAAGTGGAACTTGTTGGACCAACATGGACATCTTCTCCATTGTAGGTGTGACCCATCATTGTGACACTGCTATCTTCTTTATCAAATGCATGTCCCGTTGATATAAAGCTACTTTGGCTTTCCCTATGGAAGGCCTGAACTGTAGAATTGTTACTGTCACTTTCAATTGTGAAACCATGTCCCTTTGGAGCATGCACGCCACTGTCAAAGTCCTTAACCTGATTTATTTTGACTTTTCTAATACCACCGTAGTTAAGGCAGGCTTCAGATGCATTTGATTCAACTGTTCCAGCAGGATATAAATTCCTTTCAGCAAAATTGACAGATCTTGCAGTTTCAGCCCCAAATAAACGATGAATGAATTGGTTTGGGACAGACTGAAAACCAGAGGTGTTATGCCAAGAAGGAGAATTTGCACCGGGAATTCCAGAAGTTGTGGTGCTGTTTGGAGTTTGCACTGCTTGCTTCTTGTTAGGGAACAACTCAGGCTCAGTATCATCTATAAACCACTGATGAGATCGTTTCGACTCAAGCCTGGGAGGATTCTCAAATGCTGGATCTCCATCTGTACCCTTTGACATCCAAAATCCCTTGTTCTGGTAAATCCACAATGGGACAATTATTCTAAGAGGAAAAGAAATTCATACAGCACCAAAATATTATCCCAACATATCTTTACAACTCTCAAGAGTATCCATATCATTGTCTTTGACTAACAACCATAAAACTCCACACACAATTCGGGAATTTTGTCCCTTGAAAAAATTTACAAAAAAATAAATAAATAAAATTTAATCCTGAGAAACATGAAATCATCAACAATTTAATTTTTTTTCACAAAGTGGAAGACAGGGTGACAGCAATGACAACAAATAACTCTAGGGGAAGAGCAAATTTAGCAACTCATTTGTTTCTATTTGGAGCATCATCAAGCAAGCAATTGATCTGATAAAGCAACACATGTATGCAAACCTCTATACTCTAAACTCGATAAAATTGCAGTTGATAAAAAACACAAAATCTTTACACAGATAAGCACTACTACTAGCATTGCATGCATGCATGCTAACAATTCATTTACAAATACAGGAAAACTATTCAGTAGTTCCACTTTCATGTTCCTCTACTCGAAGCATCACGATGATAACTACTAAAGGGCCCCATTTTTATGCGAGTGGGGAGTAATACACCAGAATTACTATACATACCATTTTCCTGTGCCTCTCCGAATTTTTACTCTTCTTTCCTCAACCGATCATCTTCAACCTTTTAGCATAAAATAAAATAAAAATGACAAAAAAAGTCGCTTCAAGTTCTCAGTCACAGATATGAAAACCCCAATTAAATAAGATAACCAAACCCTAAAAAAAGCGAGATTGAAGTTTTTGACAACCTTAAAATTTTACGATGGTCGGCAATCTGACCGGAACGTTGACTTGCGGTCCGCTGAATTAATCGGCGATGAAAATTGAAAAAAATAATAATCGTAGTAGTAAAATTTATTTATCGAGTGGAGGGGGAGGGGAGTTTTTGGTGTTTGTGTCTGAGTAGCACTCGATTTTTTCCCGTGAAAGGGAATTAGAAATGGGCTACATCTGCATTCACGGTTAAATTTATCTCAGCCGTACGCGTGTGCTTCGATTTCGTAAAACAGTTTTGCCAAGCGGCTTTTTGGTCTTTTCACTTTGGATGAGAAAAGGGAAGAAGCAGGCGCAAACTTCATGTCAACCACTGATCCACCGCCACCACCCGAGTTTTAAATTTACAATATCACCCTTGCAGTAAAGTTTTAATTTAAATATTAGCTGGTAAGAGCGCTAGTTTGAAAATGCTTGCGCCACTGTTGCCGTTTAAGATAGTTGAAGGTTGGAGATTGAGTCCATGATTATTTTTTAAAAGTGTTTTATATTTTAAAATATATTAAAATAATTAATTTTTAATATTATCATATTAAAATTATTTAAAAAAGTTAAAATAATATTAATTTAAATAAATAAAAATTAATTCTTTCCAAAAATATTTTTAAAATATAAAAATAAATATTCTATTAAGCTTAACATACCTCGTCCTTGTTCGTAGTTTCTTTTTTCCCGTATGTTCATGATCATAACCTTGTCCGAAGTAAATTAGGACACCTTGATCAGAGCTAGAGATAAGGAAACTAGAATCCTTCCTAAACCAGCAATCAATTAAATCCTGCACATGCAAGATGCAAGTTTATTTTGTATCCTGTTTAGCAAATAACTTAAGATTATTTTGGATTCTTTCAACAGGACTCAAGGATACTTAGTCTTGGTACAGTTCAAGCATTATATGTATGCTAAGAATATGCCCAGTATTAAGACAGTATCAAGACAGGAGTCCAATATCAGTATTAAGACAGGAGTCTAAGTATCATATGTGCCCTTGATCTGCTAGTATACAAGTAGATAGCTCAAGCGCAACATATGCGCTGGTTTCCTCAGCACACAAGCATTAACTCAAGCATCATATATCTTTATATGATTTTTTTATGATAATAACTGTTTTTTAAAATTTATTAATAATGACAACAATAATAATAATAATATTTTTTAATTTTATTTTTCAAATCAAATCTATAGTTGTTTTTTAATATTAATTTTTTAATTATTTTATTAATAAAATTAATTATTATAAAAATAATAATATTTATAACACAAAAGATAATATTTTAAATATTAATACTCTTGATTATAGTAAAAATAATAATCATAACACAAATAATACAATTTTTAATTCCAAAAATATTTAGAACACAAATAATAATATCTTTAATATTAATACTTATAATTGTTGAATATTTTTAACAATATTTCGCCGCGGGCTGAA